TTATTATAACAAAATATTTATTTTTAATAATAAATATTATTCTATTTATTTATATATTTTTTAAAAAATTTAAAATATGAGTATAATGCATCATATTAAATTCAAGAATTTTACCATGTCATCTTATATTTTTAAAATAACAATTTTATTATTTTACAAATTACATATAAATAAAAAGTATTTTTTGTAATTTAAAAAATATAAAAATGTAATCATTTTGTATTTAATAATTAAAAGAATTTACAGACATAACGAAAAAAAGAATTTAAAATGATTCTAAATTTAATTTGAGTGAAACGTTGTTTAACACTGCAAATATATTAGACCCAACCTTGTCCATTACACATTGTCAAATGCGACCAAACTATGTGCATTACGTTGCCACACCGCAACTTTCCCCCTCTTTCCGTTAGGCGTCAGGCAGTGTGGCCCACGCGCTCTGCGGGTGCATAGAGATTTTAGGGAGAATAGTTGGGCAATAAAAAAAAAAGACAAATTCCCAAGTCATTATTAGTGAGAATCTGATCTGATTATGCTCTTTATCAAGTGGAAACTAAGGGATTTGCTTAATCATCCACCCATAGTTCCTAGTTGAATCAAACCCAAAACGAGAGCGTGCGTGTGCAACTGGTCACCGCTTCACAAGCGCAGTTTTGCACGGTCTTACATGTAATGCTTTCGTTAATCATGATATTACGTGGCTCGTTGGATTTGGTGGGCCTCACCTGCTCCACTGTTCCAATTTTTAAAACACTACAACTATTGCCAAAATCGTATCTATTGCCTAATCCGACAAAAATCCTTAAATCAATCTATTCAATAATAATAATAATAATAATACCATCCACCAAGATGCCACGTGGGTGTCATGGAAGCAGTTTCTTGCATTGCATGCATGCAAATGTGTTCAACAATGCCTATTGCCTGGAGCCACACTTTGATACTTTATTAGAATATTATAGGCCAGTGCATAGATACAACAGTGCATAAAACAAATAACACAATTATTACTAAAATAAACTTTGGGAACGAATAAAATTACATTCCTCAAAAGCAACAAGATACAACTGGAATGTCTGTCTTTCTCTCGCTTGGGGGTTTGGGATATTTTTATTTTATTTTTTCTTTTTGGTTTTCAAATTTGATCCATCGAGACCAGAGAGAGACCTTTTGGCTAGGTGGGTTGGGATCCGATTGGTCCAGTGATTTTGTTGTTGACGGGATCTTCTTTGGCAGAGGCAGGTAAGGTTTCAAAGTACCAATATTTGAAGAAGTGGAATAGGAATAGGAGGAAGGAAAAGAAGGAGCAAAAATTAAAGTGGCAAACCAAGGGGGAGGCAAAGGACCAACACTTGAAAAAAGGGAACCGTATTGTAGGAGAAACCCCCTAATAAGCCGTCCTACCTAAGAAAGTTAACTTCTTGTCAGTATCATAACATCTGAAACCACACTCTGTACCCTCTAATTGTCTCCTCTATGGAGATCTAAACTTTTGGTCAATTGGTCAAAGGTGGTCTTGAACCACTGTATATATTGTATGCGCCTTAAAAGAACGTTTCTTTATCTTTCTATTTTTTAATTTATTATTATATTATGACTTGTCGTTTATGTTTGGAAGTAATTATGTAAAAAGTTAAGCAAATAAGCCTGTTAATTTTTAATTAAACATGAAATACTTTAAGGTCAAGTGGGTATCTACTGATTGTTTGATCCCTTGCGTGCTATCCACATTTTCATTTTCCAAACGGTGTTATGAGTGGCATACATATCTAGAAAAACAAAATTCATATATGCAAAACAAAATAAGAAGTTAAATGAATACGCATTATTTATCTGATGAAATAAAAAGATAAGGATTTTGTCATAATAATTCAGGCAGGTTTTACAACAATTTTATTAGCATAAAACTCATTTATTTATATTATAATATTTGTAATAAAATTATAAACAATGTATGCTGCTTTTAGTTAAATTGTAAACGTATTTAATTAAATATATTGAAGTACATTATATACAAATTCGAGATTGAGAGACCTACAGATAGAAAAGAATTGTATAACACCAAAATTACAAAATATAGCAAATCTTAAATAAGTGAGAAAAGTTACAAATAATTAAATGCATGACTCTTGTCATTTTTGAGAATTGTTAAATGGCTCTAACTAGGCTATTTATAATTTTGACTTAAATTCTCTTTGTTTACGTAAATTCTTACTCATTTTATAATTAATGGTTTCTAACATCTTACAATTTTACTTAACTTAGTGGGAAAAACAGCAACCTTTTAATTCATCATTTCACGCAATTAAAACTGAACTGAACCATATTGGGTCAGTTTGGTGGAGGAGGCATCCATATGAATAGTAATGACCTGAATATAAATGAATCGTGAACAGTGTCGGTGTTTAAGCAGCACTTTCTTCAAGATAAGTCAGCCAAAAAACAAAGATTAAAAAAATGTTAAGCTGAATTATTTAGGACATTCAGCGACGTGCTAACTGTTGTGTGTCAAAGGTTGAAGTGGGACACTAGGTAGTAGCAGCGTTGGATCCTACAATATGTTCTGTGACCTTTTTCGCTAATTAAGCCTCTTTTTTCCCCCAGCTTCCCGTTGGAATTTTAAGTTGTGTACGTAAACATGGAATCATGGTTTGAACTTTGAACCCTTTTGCAGATGATCACGAGATTAAAGTCTATATTCAATGTCTCTTGTGTTGTTGCTGCACTTGGTCTTTGGAGTACCCTAGTACAATCATTTCAAATTTGGACAATATTATCTCTCTCTCTCTCTCTCTCTCTATTTTTATTTTCTCTTTCACATGATTTGAAACTTGGATTCGAGAATTGATACTCCCCTGGCGAATATATTCTATTGACAAATCTGGTTTCCAATTTTCTTTTTTCTAATGGTATAGTTTTTGCTCGTAGTTCACAAAGCAAATAGAGAGCATCTTTTGGAAAGTGGTGGTCGTCCCGTTTGTCGAACTGTGGTTCATCAATCTCTAGACGATCTGATTCTCACTCTCAGTGAATGTTTTTGAATCTTTAGATCGAATGGGATCGATATTCCAGAGGAGTTTGTTTGGGCTTGGCTCGGCTAATGGCTATGATGATGTGGGGTTTGTGTTTTCTTTTTAAAACTCTAGTTTTGGATTTCATTTTAATTTTTTGTGACCCTTTTCTTTTCTTTTCTTTTCTATTCTATCTTTGACCCAGAGAAACCTCTCTCTAGTGGCATGGACTACACTACACACACACACACAAAAATAAGGCAAATATGAAGCAAGTGTTGCTTTGCTTTGATGATTGGAGAGTATGCCAAGTATCCCGTTGGCATGCCTTTATATCTTTCTCTCACTCATCACCCTCTTTAGCTTTTTGGTGTTGTGTTGTGATTCAAACAAAAATCAATCAACATCTAAGGGATCTTCTCTTCTTCTACCACTACAACTTCTACTGTTCTCGCATAAGCAACTGCTCTTAAAAAGCAATGTGGTGATGAGGTTAGGATTCGGGGCATGAGGTTACTATCATGACAAGCTTGGCTTTGTGCTTGGATTCACGTGATTCCCACGGTACGGTAGCTGAGCCCCAAAAACTGGTTGTTGTGGTTGTTGTGGCTGCAGATTTGATGGATTGGACTCCCTATAACAACTAACGGAGTGGGGATGTTTGGAGGAGTGGTCATTGTTCTGTTGAAAATGTATCATCCTATGGACATAGACACCACCCCCGCAATTTCCCATATCCCACACTCATTAACGCGCGTCACACCCAACAAGTATAAATTAACACACTACATAAATAACTTTGGAATATATAACATTGAATTACAACATTTAATAAAAATCATCATAAATATTATAACATATCAAATGTATCCTTATTTAAGTAATTTAAATATTAATATTCTAATATTAAAAATTTATTCTTCTCTTTACTTGTTTTTGTTTATGATGTTTATTTGTGAAAGATAAATAAAAGCAATCATTTTATAAAAAATATAAACATCTGATACTAATAAAAATCATAGAAGTTTATTGAATGAAGTGTTGTAAAAAGACTAAAAGAGGTATAACAGTAGAATAACAATGCAATATGAGAGTTTGCTGGGTGAGAGAGTTGTAATATATAGAATACAAGCGGATGGTTCACATGGAAATGAAAATGAGAGTTGGGAATTAAAAAATAGGATTAGAAGAGGAAGTGTGCAGGGAGATGGTTGGGATTGGAGCGTGGATGAAGAGGGAAGGGAGAGGAGCGTGAGAGAAACTATTCCATTTTGGTGGGGAGGGTGGCAGTGGCAGAGGCAGAGAGAGGCAGAGATACGGATATTGGGTTTGAGACACTAAAACCTCGTGATCGGAAAAGGCAGATCCATGGAAGACTGTTCCCCCTAGTCACGTGGGCTCTTTTGACTACCCATTACCCAATGATTCTCTTCACTCTCTTAATCTAAACCCATTCCATTCCACCCACACACTCCTATAAATTCAGACTACGCAAAGGGAAATCTCACATAAAGTCACAAACAGTGCCACACATACTTATACCCTTACACTCACTCCCTCACCCTCGCTGCACTCTCTCTCTCCCATAACACACCCCAAATGGGTCCCTCTATCTGTTCCCCTCTTTATTACCTCTCTCTCTCCTGAAACCATCCACTATATATATCCCTCCATTTCCAATTAACGACAACGTGGACTGCACCTGCTGACTGGTATTTCAACATTTTATTAGCTCCCAAAGCTAACAGACAACACCCTCTTCTCACTTCTCCCTCCTCACTCCGTACCATTCACCCATCTCTTTCTTCCAATTCCTCCGTTTTATTATTGCATTTCCCATTGTACTTCTCTCCTTTTAAACTTAAATCCACAACTCTCTCTCACACTCACTCTATTAATTCATCACCCTTCAACTTCAACCTTTCACATCCCTTGGACGAAGAAAGAGGGGGAACTGATCGAAACATACTTCATAAGAAAACGCCAAGGATGCATCGTTGTTGCAGTGGCTCCCAGGGGCACGTGATGGGACCCTGTACATGTGGTATGTTTCATAGCCAAACCAATTCCTTCTCCATGCTATTCTCCATGCCCAACCACAAACCACCCTACGACGATCATTCCAACATGTATGACTATTCCTTCTCACCCCCTTCCTCTTCCGTCGATTGCACCCTCTCCCTCGGAACCCCATCAACCCGTTTCACCCAAGATGAAGAAAAACGAACCCGCCACCTCCAACGTCGCTCCGTTTCTAACTTCTGCTGGGATTTACTTCAATCCCAATCCCAGCCCACCCCACCCATCAACACTGCCTCCACCAACGACCCTCTCCTCGCTCGTCGCTGCGCCAATTGCGACACTACTTCAACTCCACTCTGGAGAAACGGGCCTCGAGGTCCAAAGGTAAATAAATAAATATATAACATTAATATACCAGAAACTTAGATACACTTATACAATATATGCTTTCGCTGTTTTCAATTTTTTTTCTTAAAAGAAATAGGTTGTAACTTTGTATGTGGATTGATCCAATTGCAGTCACTGTGCAATGCGTGTGGGATTCGATTCAAGAAAGAAGAGAGAAGAGCGAGTGCTGCCGCCGCCGCACCCACCGCGGCTTCTGGCGTTGTAATGGAGTCGGCGCAGATGTATAACAGTTCATGGTACGCGCACTCGCAGAGCCAGAAGATGCAGTGCTTCTCGCCGGCGATGGCGAACGAGTTCCGATTCGTGGACGACGGCGATCGAGACTCCGATAACGGCATTCCCTTTCTCTCTTGGAGACTGAACGTGACGGAAGGAATGGGCCTTGTTCACGACTTGACGTTGAAAAAATAGTGATCGTATAATAATAACATAAGATTACAAAAGGAGCTAGCTTAGTTACCTACCTGAACGGTCAAAACCAAGCACGAGCAGTTATACGTCAACGTTTTACGATGCTTTTGATTGCGATGGTTATGGTCTCGTCAATATTATGTTTTTTATTTTATTTTTCACTTTTGACCTTTTCCATTTTGTTTGCTTCCTTTTCTCCGTCTTGCATAAGATGGAGTGAGAATGGGATAATTCTATATTCTTAGTTTGCTTTTTCTTTGGACTTCTTTCTTTAACTTTCTCTTTCAGTTACATATAAACCTACTTTTTTGTTGCTTCACTTTCCTCGTATGTTAGTTATTATTATTATCATACATAGTTGATGTTGACCATGTTATGGATCATTTGATTGCAAAAGCTTTATAACTAGCGGTTTTGCAGATGTTATGAGTTGGTGACCATTGCTTCTTATCCTATGAACTACTACTATCTGCTAGTTTGTGTGCTTAAACAGAGTCTGAAAGTTCATAGTGGTTGCTTTCGTTGTTCTGATATCCTAAGCACAGACATTCATACACGGACACATATAGAGAAACAGTAATGTGCGAGAGAGAGACGTAGGTGCATTTAATTCGGTTGAAGCAAATCTGACGGTCCAATGCGTCAATGTTGGATCACTGTACTCTCTGAACCAAGTGGGCCGTTCAGAACAGTGGAACTGAAATGTCTTTTTATCATACAATTATTTTACGCCTTAATTTTTATATCTATTCACATTCTTTTCTTCACTCTTTAGAGAGGTGTGAAATGTTTAAAGTAATATATATTATTCATAAGACAAATTTCTATAATAATTTCTAAATGTTAACTATTTTTTAAAAATCTTTTCAATATATTATTTATCTTATTTATTATTTTTTTCTTAAAAATATTAAAATTATTTTACTAATATTTTAAGGATATTAAATAAAAATATTTAGAAATTGTCAAAATATATTAAAAATTATGAAAAAAGATACATTAAATTTTTTATTTTTAAAAATTTAATCAGTGTATTAAGTATTTATATCTTATATATATGTATTATAATTATTTTTTAAAATTTTATTATATAAATAACGTTACTGAAATGATTATTATCCTTTTAGAATAAGGGATTCCGGCCTACCTAATGGTCCAATGAAGTTTGGGTTTCACAGGCTGGGAACTAAGGAAACTTTTTCATCGTAAACCTAACATGATAATTTTTTATATTTTTACTTGTTATAATTTTTATATTAATAAAGTACTCAGTCATATAAATAAATATATTTATTTAATTAATATATGAATGATTGCATATTATTATGAATATTATTTAATTACTGTAAATGTTTTTAAAATTTGTTATAAATTTGTGATATATAATTTTTTTTTATTAATCTCGATGGAGTAGTGGTTTGCTTTTTTTTAAAAAAGAATCGAGGGAATATTTATGTTCATTAAATAGAAGGATCGCATGTATATATAATCTTGGTGGATTAGATCATTATTATTTTTAAAGGTCAAAGTATCTTCATCAGTTTAAAGGGACACATGCACCCTAAAGTATTCGCTTTGTCATCGTCAGATTTCAACGAGCAAACACGAGCTTGTGTGAACATATATATCAAAGTTATGACAAGCATGGAACAAATACGCAGCAGTGCATTTTTCACATTCACGATTAATTTACTAACAGGGATAGTATTGTATTTTTATTTCAATTTTACTAATCGTGATTAAAGAAGTCAGTCATAAATAAAAAATCATTATACATTTGTAATATTATTTATATTATTTTTTTATTTGTATTCAATTCTTTAATTAGTGAATTATATTCATTACTTAAATAAGTCAAATTTAACTTTTATATGCTTAATTAATATTAATAACCTATGTAGAATGCATGTAGGTGTTTTTACTCAACCTTCCACGTAGTTACAATGAACAAATAATGGGGGTTCTCTTTCAATAATATATACAAACACGCATTAGAGTACCTCATTATCTTCTCTTTTTACATACAATTTCCTTATTCTCAGACTAATTTAGACGTCAAAGTGTTTTTGCAAATATTCCAATCACAGATAATTAATTCAATTATGAGTTTCAATCATTTTCTCTGTCGTGTTTAATGGCCTTATAAAAATGATTTGCTTTAATAATAGAGATAGACATAATCAAATATTTAAAATGGATGTCTCCTTTCACTGATTTAATCCCAAATTAATTAATTTGACAAGGTTCTCTGATTCCACTTTCTCGTAAATAAAGGTTTCTCATTTAATATATCTTATACCATCATTTCAATATTTATGAAATAATCACTTCCGATATATTCTATTATTTCATTTCAATATTTAATTTTCTTATTTACTTGCCACTAACGCTTTCTCATTTAATACGGCCTATTTAGTTGAAATGTATAAAGAAATTCTTATAAAATTAAATTAATTTTTTTTCCTAAATTAAAAATAATTTATTTTTCAAAATTTAAATAAAATAATAATAATTTTATTATTATAAATTTGAGCAAGCAGAACTTATATTTTATAGAAAGCAATATTTGGTTTAAATGTTGTGGTAAGTATCCAAAGAATAAAGAGGAGTAAAAATAGGCTAGTTAATATATTTTAAATTATTGGTTAAAATTTATTTAAAATTATAAAATTGCGAAAAAAAACCATTAAATTAAGAGTTTAAAAAGAGTGAAATTCATGTTATTTAACAATTGAAAACATATCGTTGTTTTCTTTTAAAACTTAATCATCTGATTCCATTAGAAGCCCTTCTTAATTTGATAACAGGCAAGGGCAACTAGGAAAATCAGTCAAAATGTGTATTCATAAAGGCGCTCTGCAACTAGTAATTTAAACAGCAGCAGTTTTATTCAAAGGTAGGTTTCTTTTCTCACACGTACAGATTCCCCCCCTCATCAATGATGAAATCGAACTGAAAAAACATTTACTTGGGATATACCATTTTAAACTGAAACAAGAGAGACTACCCATGTGATTTCCCATAAATATCTATCTAAAGGAAAACTGAATTTCTTCCAATGTTCTTCCCTTGGTCTCAGGGACCCATATTGCCGCAAAAGCAACAGTAAAGGCAGCTACCGCAGTGTAGATTAAGAATGTCCCTGTTGACACCCCAAACATTAGCATTATATTGACAGCATATAAGAGCAAACATGAATGTACTTGATACACATACATGTACATACCTCCACTGCTCCAAGTCAAAAGCAAGTTTGCAGTCATTGTGATGATCCAGGAAGTCATCCAATTAGTCAAGGTGGCTATGCTGCCAGCTAGGCCCTTTATATTCACTGGAAGTATCTGAAAAGCAAGATTAATAATAAGTGAGAGGTTAATCCTAAGTTCATCAAACAATTTAACTCAAGTCCTCCAACCATAATTCTATGTAAAAAAGAAGGCAAGGGACCTTCAGAACCAAAGTTACATGGTAATAAGCGTTGCATAGGCCCAAATAATGCATTAATTACTTGATCGCTGGTTGAACTTATTTGTTTGATTACAGAAAGCAAGTTCTCCTGCGTACCTCAGACATTATAAGCCAAGGGATTGGTCCAAGTCCTAGAGAGTAGCCAATTACCATAGCCTACAAAAAGAAATATGATCAAGTAAGTATCATATGAATAAATGAAAAATAGTTAAATAGATGTTCAACCTACCCCACTAAACATACCACAAGCCCAGCAACAGAAAGTATTCCCAAAATGCCGTATAGACAAGAATCCTCTGATGTGACTCCCTGGTATCAACGCAATCAATCAGTTAATAACATAGCTAAGCTCTTGAAATTGAACCACGCTTGTATCATTGCCTCCCAACCTCTAGATAGAATGCTATAGAAACAAGGAGAAGGCTAACTGACATTATAGATGCGGATATCTGCAGAAATGATAACATATTTTAGATTATTTTTTTTAAAAAATCTTCATTCGTCTTCTAGTATCCAGTTAGAAAGTGTTCATGGAAGGATGGGTTTTGCTTAGTACTTACTATTAGAAGCAGCCTCCGGCCACTTTTGTCCACCAACCAAGTAGTGATTCCAGTCATTATGACCTGAAAAAGAAAGCAGATTACGAGAACCGAGTTCCCTATTTTGACATTACATGAAGAAACCTGATATGTAATCTTGACTTATAATCCAACCTGTATAGCTCCAAGTCCAACTGTAGCAGTATTGCTGGATGAAATTCCTGTTACAGAACGGAAGTCAAAAACCAAAACAGGATGAAATGTAAAATATTGGAGCAATTACAGCTATCATCTAGAATTCATATTTGTTTCCTTTGTTAAATGTCGAATCTGGTGTTAGTAAAAAAATTACGAAAATGAAAAGGGAATTAGCCATCTTTATGTTCCTTGCATCACAAGTTAATAAGGCAAGTTCTGAGATCATGGAAAATCATGTCTTTTAAAGACTACAATGTCCAACAACATATATCATATATCCCAAACCTGTTGAATCATGTCAAACTTGGGCATTTGAGTATCTAAAGGTTTTAAATCCCCTTCACCCCTACATCCCTACAGCTTACTTAATACCAATCCCCCTACCCCCTCAAAAAGATTATCATAAAAATAACTCACAATTAACTGCTGATAGGCAGCTCTAACCTGCATTTGCAAATATGGTACTTGAATAGAACAGAACTCCATTGGCACCACTCAATTGCTGAAGTACAAGCAATCCAATTCCTACCTGCAGGCAATCAGTGGAAAAGAAAAAGAGGTTTCAGAATTTTCTAACAAAGACAAAACAAACAACAGGAAAACCTTGGGGGGGGGGGGGGGGAGAGACCAGACCAAAAAGGAATCGAAGCCTACCATTAAAGGAAACCAATATCTTTTCATCTTGAGATCTGCAAACTGAATTGTAACACTTTTTCCCGTTGATGCCACAGATCTCTACACGAAAGGCAAAATAATTATCTGTTTATGGTACTCGAGAATTATACTATAACTACATCTAGTTTATGCTTACTCTTACTATCATGCGTATGACTTGGTTGAAAAATCAATAAACCCCACGGAATAGTAACCTAAATACCTTAATTTCATGTACTTCAAGTGATATATCTGTGTCAAATCCTCGTAACACTTGCAAAGAAGTCTCAAACTCTTCTGTCATCCCCATCTTGGCCTAGATTTCCCCAATTCCCCACCAATCAAGGAGGGAAAAAAAATTACACACATATTTCTTTTTCTGTAAGGGATGTGTAAATCAGAAAAGATTAAAGGTACAAAATTCTGTTAGTATTATAAATCACGACACGTGATCCATACCAACCACCTGGGAGATTTGTTGGGGAAAACCAAACACAAGAACACAATTATCTAAAGTAAGCAGCGGAAACAATTCCCCAAACTTGCAAAAACATGTGAGGAGCAACAACAATAACAAATGGCAGCAACAAATACAACGACACAGAGAATTATTTACGTGGGAAAACCTTCTCAATATGAGAAGTAAAAACCCACGGGCTCAAGCCAGTCAATCAAGCTCCGCTATAATCAAATAAGGAGTACAAGAGTGTTCAATCAAGTGCACAAATTCGTGCAAACAGCCAGCCAAAATCAACAGAGCAATAAAGCCTACAATGAAGGATCAAAGAGAGAATATCTCACAAAATAGGACTACTGTTTAGATACAATTTCTCTCAGTCAAAACTTCCAATCGACGATCCCAGCCTCTGGGAACTACTGTCAAAGTTTCAGCTCAATCCAACGGTTAAATAAGGAGAAATAACGATTTCTCAGCAGCTGGTCTGTGCAGAGTCACCAAAAACAGGGCTTCTGTGCGAAGACAATATCTCCAACTTCAGACCTCCAATCGACCATCCGAACGGTTAGAACGAAGAGCACCGTTAAAATTTTCAGCCCGATCCAACGGTGAACGAATTGGATATCAAAGAAATGGAGTAACTGGTCTGGAGCTTCTTTTCTTCCCTCACTTCCCTTCTCTCTTTTTGATGCCTCTCACCGAAAATACTTACACTAGGCTGCGAGAAAATGGACTTCCCTCACCCACTCCACTGACTTCTCACTCCCCTCAATTAAGTGTAGAAAATGAGCTTGAAAATTTGGACTTTTTCGACACATCGTTGGGAGTCCAACCCAACAAGATTCTGGTATGAAAAATAATCCAGGTATTAATATTGTACAAGGAAAAATTCCTGCAATAGAACAAACATGTTTTTTTGTTAGTGTTTGGTGGCAGAATCTAAGCAATGCTATGATCCAACATAATGCTTCGAATGATATTATTAAGATTTAAGAGTTTCATACTTTCATTTGTCCATTCACCAAAGGTCAACTAACTGAACCAAGTAACTAAACCACTGGGAATTTACCTAGAACTGCAAGTACTCTCCAGTTGACAAAAAGGCCCAACAGATAAGCAAGCATTATTCCAATTGTGATTGAGAGCTGAGCCCAAAGTACGTGTAGACATGAACAATGTATAATGATGTCAAATATATAAAGAACGAAAACGTAGAAAATGATGATGAGATTTCTCATTCAGAAACACTTGCCAACCTGGTTCACCGATCCAAGGGTACCTCGCATGTTTTGAGGTGATATCTCAGCTATATAAACAGGCACCTAAGCAGAAGAAAAAACAATAAACTACTTTCACCCAGCATTCTTGATAGTTCCAACAAACAAGTTGTAAAAGATAAAAGGACAATCAAGATTACCACGTAAGAGATTATCCCAACGCCAAAGCCTTCCAAAAACCTCCCCATAAATAAAAACGATGAGTCCTATTAATGCAACAATACACCATATGAGTTAATAAACATAGGTACAACAGCAATAACTGATAACGATAACTAACTACCCATATTAATTTGTGACCCTTACATCGGCAAAAGAAATGGCGAGCCATCCTAATATATTGGGGATTGCGGCAATCATCAATGCCTGCAATCCAACATGCCAAAAGCGTCACTCATAACATCTTTTAGATACTAACTTCATTTATTTCTTCAAAGAAAAAAAAATAGTTGTAGGTGTCATGAAATTTAATTTTGCTATAATTATTCAATAAATTTTCTAATATACCCTTTATTAGTAGAATTCTTTTTTTATCTCTGAGTTACTCAACAATTAGTATAGATACATCATTTATTATATAATAATTTCTATATATATATAAAATGATATTAGTGAAAAAATAATAATTAATATTATCTTGAACTTCTATGAGTACAAATAATTAGGGATAAATTATTTCTCTCTTTTAATAGATAAATAGAAACAAAAGCAATGTTTTATTTGCTTAATTAGACTTTTCTTTCTCATATTTTAACTTATACGTAACTTTAGTCTCCAAATTTTAATTGTTTTGTTTGATATTATAATTTTTTAATTACTATAAATTCATATTTTATTTAATAATTAAATAAAATATAATAAATGTATGATATAATATGATAATATTGATTTTGCACAAAAATTGTGAAAGCTATTAAATATTCCTTTTTTAAAATACAAAAATATAAACTTCAATGCTCAAGGTTAATTTGAGGCAATTAATAATAATATTTTATTAAAAATATAATATGATAAATATTTTTATTAAAAATATTACTATTAATTATTTAATTCTTAAGGTTAAAAAATCGTTTGAGACAAGCGTTTCTGAAGAATATTTTAATACTTCTGATTAATAGAATGGAAGGCCATTAATGTTATGAAAGGATAATGTAATTAAGGCTCTCAGCTAAGAATATCTAAAGAATATTGATAAAGAAATTTAAAAATATTTTTTATTAAAAATTATAGAAAGAGTATATTCATAATATTTTTTAAATAAAAATCTATTTTAATTTCTTAACTAATAACTGAAGACATTAATTAGAAAATGTCAATAACTAATTGAACTTTTTTTAAATTTAAAAATATTTAATGACTTTCTTAATTATTGTATAAAACATCAGATAATTAAAAAAATTAACAATTTTTTTGTAGATTTAAAATGAGAAAAAAAATATCTTTTTATATTACAATTATTATGAATTTTTAGATGTTTAAAAATAAAAATTAAAGAGTAAAGAGAGACAAAAGTTATAATACCCCTTTGCGTCCGGTGTATTCTGCCATTTGACCACTGGTTATGGCTCCCACATTGGATAAAGATCCAAATAGCGAGAACTAACCCCAACACAAAGCACTCATAAAAACTAAGCACAATGATTTAAAACTCAATCTAAGTGCTAATGAACACAGTCAAACCTCCGAAAGTGAGAGCTTTAGATCGCTTATTATACTCTCTTGCGTCGGAGAAGAATAGCCACACTGTGTAAAAGCAATCAAAACAGAACAAAGAAAACTAGTTAACAACAAAAAGGTTAATGATGTTTGAGAGTTTTAAATTTTGAAGCAATGGGATTAGAGAGTATAACCGTGAAGCCGAATTGAATAGGACCCAATGCAACGATGAGGACACAAAAGAGGACAGAAACAGAGGCATCACGCATGACATGGTGAGAAGAGGCCATGATGCTTGATTGCCTCGAACCCATTTTGTACCAGCTCCCAGTGTTGAGGAAGCTCTTCCTAAGATCTTCACATTCTTCCCTCAAACTCATTGGGAGCCTCCAACAAGATGCTCACTGCTACTGTAGCTTTTGGAGTTGTAAGATTCCAATACAATATTGAAGATTTGTTCGTTGGAACACATTCATCATGAGGTGTTAATCTTATATATACACCACACATGGATTATGTCATCCAAGTCTTTCACTATTATTGTTGAGAGAAGCAAAGCCTATCTCAACCATCTCTGTTTCCTTTAGTCATCAACTTATGACAATGGATAATAATATTTTTCCTTCATGATTGTTGCTCTTACTTGAAATGGCAGGACGAATAATTTAACCCCAACCCTCGAAATTTTAAAATAACGTCATCGAATTACATTATAAACTGTCGAGGGTCATATATTTATATAATTTAACTCGATGTCATGATGAGTGTAGTTTTTTTTTTTTTCAGCGTTCAATGAATATTTCTATTTTAAAATAATTGTGATTCAAAGTTTTACACAAGATCTAGGAAATTTATTAAATATTTTTAATTTAAAATACATATTTGTTGAAATTATTTTGTTGTTATAAATTTTTCTTTCTTTTGATTTGGTAAGAATATTAAGAGACAAAAAATGATTCTTATAATAATAAATGATATAAGATAAATTAAAACTGTTGAAATTATATCTTATAAAATATGAGACATGATACTTCAATTGCTCTGTCCTTTTTTCCGGGAAAAATATATGTATTTTTTTTTAATTAAAACACACTAATTATTCAATGCCCCATCTCCTGATCTCATCATAAAGAAACATATCCAGTATTTTATGACAAAGTCATTTCTATTATCAAAATGCAATTTAGTTGTGATATAAAATTGAGCTGTGCATATCAAACCAAAAAATGAGCTGTTCAATCAAATAAAAAGGCATTGAGCTGTACACACAAAATAAAACTTATGTGTAATGAGGACAAACATTTTTTGTAGGCTTGCTTGATCCAGAGATATTTGAAAGCAAATGGTAGATGCACAATGAATATTAAATGAAGAACTAGTTTTAAAATAATGAACAAATAATTTCAGTCTAAAAAAAATTCGAAAGAAAAGCATGAGAGAAAAATTAACCTATGGTAAAAAGATTATTTGGGACTCTAATATAGTAAGAAAGATGAAAAATAATGCAATTTTACTTGTCGATATATTATAGAGAGTTTTGTATAAAATTACGATGAATGTGACGTAGTTTTATCATATTAAACTAATAAAATTTGAAAAACAAATTTCACAAATTTTTTTGGGCCATTGAAATAAGTTTCCTAAATTTTTATTTCATACTGTTCAGAATCGTCTTACATAATGTGATTAATAAGGAAAGTGAAAAATAAAAGGAATATAAAATAAGTGTAGATACAAACAGTGCATTCATTTTGTTCATACTGCAACTGCTCAGGTTAGGAAAAAATATATAAATAAATTAGATGATTAAGAATATATGTTTTTATAAATATTTTTATTTATTTATGTAGGTAAAAATTAAAATAACTTTAAATTATTAATTTTTTTATTAATATTTGTTTGTTGATATAATTTTATAATATAATAAAAATATTTATATTAATTAATAATTCAATAGAAAAATAAGTTTCATAAATAATGAATAAATTAAAATTTATTAAACAATTTTAATAAAACAACTAAACCTTTTAATTATAGTTTTTTTAAAATAAATTTATTTTTTTATAACAAAAAACTATCAATTTTTTATCTTAAATATATAAAAAAAACTTATTTAAATTTTTTTTTACATCTTAATTTACTATAAGATTTGTGTTAATAAATTATTAACTTATTATTCATATTTATTTACTTTAATATATTAAATTTAATTACACATTTATTTTTTTATAAAAAAATGACGAAAATAATTAATGATAAAATATTTATTATATCCTAAAAGTTTAAATGATATTTTAGTCCTTGTACTTGACTAAATTTGTAAGTTAGTTTTTATATATAAAAATTTTATAAATTAGTTTGGCATGTATCTTTATTCTTGATTTAGTTTTTTTTTGTTAAATTTTAAGTAAATGACTTAAATAAATAAAGAACTAAATTGAGAATAAATATAGATGTGAAGACTGATTTACAAACTTTTTACATGTAAGAGTTAATTTACAAATTTTCATATATAAGAACTAATTTACAAATCTTAGTTAAAAGTATTTTTGTAAATTTATGGACACCTTTGATTTGTATCTTGAGTTTGATGATGTTGTTAGAGGTATAAATGAATGTGTTAGTAATTATGTTATTAACCACACTAATAAAGATATATTCGAGAATAGAGAAGGTTTTAACTAGTGATTAAGGTTTGTAATAGATTAATGTGAATGTGGATGAGATTGAAGGCAAAGATGTTGAAGTGGTTGAAAAAAAAATCAATAAAAATTATTAAAAGTTAATTGAATTTTGAGATGAAAAACTAAAAAATAAAAAAGTTATAATTTCTATTGAAATTTACGTAAAGAAAGAAAAAAAAATAGGGATAATAAAATTAAAAATAAATAAAAAAAGAAAATGTTAGTGAAATTAAGAGTAATAAAGTAGTTGAAAAAAAGAAAAAAGAGAGATTTGATAAAAGTTGTTTAGAGTTAGTTATATTACACGGTAGATGTGAGGTCGAAAGAAAAGAAAAGAATGCTAATTTTTATTAAAGAAAAGAGAGAATGAGATTAATAGAAAAAAAAAATGACAATCATTCGTTCCTATACTTCACCCAAATTTATAATTTAATATGTGTAAAAATTTTAAAAATTTATTTTCGTATATATATTTATTTCAATTTAATCTCTTTTTTATTTTCGTTTGTTTACTTTAACTCATCAACATTTAAACCCATCCTAGAAAGTAAGAAGGGAACAAAGAAGAGGGGTGTTGACGGCGGAGCAGGAGCTACAGAGAAAGCCTGGAGTTTAGTTTGGGTGTTTTTTCATCCCTTACCCCAATCTTCACAGCGATGAGGCGAACTCGATCTCAAACCAAAGCCAATTCAATCGCCGATGATTCGCTTTCCTCTTCAGCAATCACCTTCCGCGCTCGAAAAATCCCAAGACTAACCCTCAACACCTCCAACCATTGCCAACCCGTTAACTCTCAAAGGCGAAATCGACATAGCCCTTAATCATCTACGCAACGCAGATCCCCTTTTAGCCCCTTGCATCGATTCCTTCAACCCTCCACAGTTCTTAACCGATCGCGCACCCTTCTTCGCTCTCACCAAAAGCATAATCTCCCAACAACTTTCCAACAAAGCCGCCGATGCCATCGAAGCCCGTTTCGTCACCCTCTGCGGCGGCCGCCACTCCGTCCTCCCCGACGTCGTTTTGTCCCTCTCCCCTCAACAGCTCCGCCTCGTCGGCATTTCCGGACCCAAAGCCTCTTACCTCCACGACCTCGCTTCCAAATTCGCCGATGGGGTTCTGTCCGATTCTTCTGTGCTTGAAATGGACGATGACACGCTCCGCGACAAGCTCATTTCTGTTAAGGGGATTGGGCCTTGGTCCGTTCACATGTTCATGATCTTCACTCTTCACCGCCCCGACGTTCTCCCTGTTGGAGACCTCGTCGTTCGGAGAGGCGTGGAACGCTTGTATGGACTCAAGGCTTTGCCCACACCTTCCCAAATGGAACGCTTGTGCGAGAAATGGAAGCCTTATAGGTCGGTTGGGTCTTGGTATATGTACAAGCTTGTGGAAGCTAAAGGGGTCTTTCCCACCCCCACTCTGAATCAGCAATAGCTAATTATGTATGTTTAACCTTTAACTATGGTTTATTTGATATCAGAGCTTTGTAGCTCTTAGTCCTTATTTTCTAACATTTATTAACTTACTCTGGCTATGCGTGTACGTTTTAGAATTTGAATGAATGGATAGGCTACCACATGAATTGTTTGGTTTCAGAAGGTAATCTCAGTCCTTGGGGTGTTTATGTTGTTAATCGTGAGCTTTTGTTCTGGTGTGTTATTATTCTTATGGAATAACATTCATTGCTTTGGTTTTCTGCCCATTTATAAAACTGTCGGAGTTTGTTATGAACTTCTCTTTTGCTCTCTTGGTGGCGTCGTAACTTTCGTCTTGTCGTTATCATTGTATTCGTACTGTTATAACTTTAATGCAATCTATCGATACTTTCATAAGGAACAATGTTTATGCCAAAAGGATGCTCATTTGGGGGTTCGAGAAGAGTATTGGTGAAGTATGTTTGCTTTCGGATCCGTATTTGTAACAGGGCACAGGGTAGCTTATGAATCTGAGCGTGAATATATGACTCTAAATGCGCAACCAGACATGCCCGAAATATTAGATGTATCCTCCAAAGCTTGTCACTGCAACCACATTTGTAGATGAGAGAAGTCCTCTACTATTTTATATAAATTTTTAAGCAATTTTAAATAGGATTCCTATTCAGAATTCAAAATGAAAATACTGAATAAAAGAAACAAGTCTGTTAAATTTTAATATTTACATGTTGTACTCTATTATATATATATATATATATATATATATATATATATATATATATATATATATATTATTTCTCTTATTAAGTACTCTTATAACATCTTAAGGTTGCATTTAGGTGAGGTAATTAAATTTTTGTTATTTTAAAATATTTTTGTTATGATAAAATAATTAAATATTTTTCTTTGGATAAATTAATTAAATTACTTACATTCTCAAAAAAAAAAAATTATCACTATATTTAACAAAATTAATAAAAAAATATGAACTTTAAATTATGTAACTAATCACAACTAAATGAAATATGAATAGAACATATAATAAATAAAAATAATAATTCTAAATTTTTATTCTTTTGTTAGAATTTAGAATTATTTAATTTTAGTCTATTAAAAATTCTCACTAAAATTCTTAAAATTTTAAATTATTTAAAATTAAATATCTGAACATTAAATTTAAATCATCGAGTTATAAATTCTTTCAAAATATAACTACTCACTTAATATAACTCATCCAAACATATTATTTTTTTATTAAAATTTATTAGTTTAATTGATAAAGGGAAAATGATATTTGAAATAAAAAAATAGAATAAACACATAAAGTGTTGATACTCAGTGAATAATATGAAAACTTGAGGATGAAATAGGCAGCAACAATATAAGATTAATTATTTTAAATATGAGTTTTAAAAATAATATATACTAAAATATAGTAATTTTTAAAAGAAATTATAAAAAAATGAGATTAAAAAATTATGAAGTATAAGTATAGAAATTCAAAAATAGAACAATGAAAAATTATAAATTATTTAAATCATTAATGATAATTCTTTAAAAAATTATAAGAGGCTAAACCTCACAAACAACAATTTTTTTAAAATCATAAAAAATCATCAATAATAAATCTTAAAAATTTATCATATTTTTATAATTTTTCTCAAAACATTATATTTTGATTTTTTTTCATGTTAAAAAAAAAAGTCAATATAATGCCAGGGAATCAGAACGACATTAGGTGTTAAGTTTTTTTTTATGTTTTTGCTCAAACGGTGCATCTATGATATACTTGGGCCTTAGTTGACGCAGCTTCGTTATTCTGTTGTGCTCAGTGGGTTTTGTACATGGCTGTCGTTTTTGAGGGGCCTGTTATACATTCTTTCTTAGCTGACCAAAAACGAGAAAGCCTTTGGTTTTGCTGTATGAATCAAGAATCATTACAATTCAAGACCAGAAAAAAAAAAAACATTACAGAGAACTAAGGTAATTGTATTTTGAATTTATTTTTTGAGCAGAAAAAACAAAAACAAAAAGGGTGAATGGTATTGTGTGACATGTACTAAAAGGAAAAAACAAAAGAGGAAAAGAAAAGAACCTCTCTTAAGATGATAATAAAAAGACAAAAAAGGAAGGATCATATGGCATCAGCCGCTTTGTACGAACCACATATTAGATAAGACCAGTTCGCAACCAGACAATAACTAGACGACAAAAACGATGCATCATACTCAAAGTTTTGTTCCTTTTCTTTCCAATGCAAACAGGTCCTCTGTTTAGCGATTTTTCTATCACAATCTGCAGAACGATGGCTAACACTGGGTAAGTATTTCGTAAATCCTAGCTAGCATGGCCTCCCCGAACAAATGCTGCACAAAGGTAATTGAGCACTCAAATTAGAATAAGGTTCTTGAATGGACTCCATGGTCGGTTCATGAGATAATAACATTATGTTAAGTGCTAAAACATCAACGATAAATAACATTTCTAAGTAAAGTCTTAAATTAATATATGAATTCTATGATATATCTTATAATAATAAATGATTTTGTAAAAATATTCTTGTGGATTTTTTATGGAGAAAAGAATGATAATCATTGTATTATTTAGTGTTTCAAGGTTTCATCTTAAATGAAGAGTATATCAATGAGAAGTGATAGAAATATATCTTTAAATACTCTTTGTTTTTAGCTGATAGTTTTATTGAAACTTGTGAAATTATGTAAGTCTTATTTTTTTTAACGAGTTTTAATTTTAATTTTATGTTTTTCATAAAATTTAACTAATTAATAATAAAATATTTTATTAAAATTCTCGTATATATAGTGAAATTTTTGTTAACTAGTATTTTAAGATAATTGTTAAAATTTTTAAAATATTTTTAATTAAAAATTGTATTTAAAATTATGAGAAGAAGTGTATTCTATAGTAAAAATTACTTTTAATTCTTTTAATTACCTATAGCATTTGATTATAAGTAAACTTAGATGAAAATATATTTGTAAGTTCTATATTAAATAATGAGTGGAACATCGATGCATATATGGGTCTTGTATGTGACCTTTAATTACTGGTATTAAATCTTTACTCTAAACTGGTTTATTATTCAATGTTAATAATAACAAAAATTATAATATACTTCTCAATGACAAAACATTTGAAGGTCCTACTTTCAGTCTTTGATTTTTTAATCTTCTAACTATTTATTTTTAGTCTATTCTTTCTTAGGATAAATAACTACCGTATCTTCTGTGGCTTCAGGACCTTCGTCATTGTCTTTTGTGTTCACCCAAAAAAAACTATAGTATTAAGTACTCTATAAAAAGCACAAAATCACATTTATTAAGTTAAAAAATAAGGACTTAAAGAAACATAGAATATCGTTAATTAACATGCACTTGGGACAACCATAGAATGGTCAACTAGGACTAGCCATTGCTTTAGATATTCTTACCCTAATTCTCAAACCACAACACATAAACTACCCCCACCTTTCCGATAGTGTTGCAACCTGTTGTATATCGAACGTTTGTTTCCTTTGTAGTTTTGGGGACGCAATTTAGGGTTTATTTTTAGTACTAATCATTCAATAACCTTTTATAGGTTCTGAAGATTCAGGACAAACAGGAAAAGAGATTAAAATTTTAGGTTTTACGAAAGGGGGTGAATTTAAGTAAATTTTTATTTATTTATCTTTTAAGATGTAAATGACAGTTTAGGTATTATTAATATATTTTTATTTACTAAAAATATATTTAAATAATGAACTCATTCATTTCATGACCCGTTTAACTAAAATCATCTAACTTATTCATTATTTTCTTAAAAGGATATTCAATTTATCCATTAAAAATGTTATATTTTAAAAATATATTTTTTCAATAATTACAACATTATTGTCATTGTATCATGACATGGGGTGGAGTAATAATATTGGAAGAAGAAAGAAATAGGCTTTTAGTAGCAACAAGAAGAAGAACCACTTGATCTATTTTTAATAATTTAAAAATCCACCCGATTGAGGAAAAAAAAAAAGATTGATCATTATCACTTACTAATTAAAATAATCTAATTCATTATTACGTTTGTTTTCTAAAATGAATGATAAATTAGATTGGATTGAAATACGCATGGGTTGATTGAATTGTGGATACGTGAATTATTTATTCTCACCCATAATCTTAAGCGAATAATTCTATGAAGTGCTATTTATATTTTGTTGAATGTAAGAATTAAAAAGTAAACATCTCAATAAAATAAGAACTAAAATAATTTATTATTTAAATTAGCAACTATATTAGTATTTTATTTATTATTGTTTCTCTCATTTCTTCTCCTATATTGACACGAAGAGTGCAAAGATGTTTATTATAAAAAAACAAAAATATTAAAATACAGAGAAATATTATATAACAATCAAGGGTTGATTGAAAAACGTAGCTGCTGATGTTTTGTTCGAATAACTCAGATCGATATATCCAGCTAACGCCAAAATGAGCATTCTGTTTCACAGCTCTTATATGCCATCACTTCATTCCATTATTAAGTGATTTTATTCTACTTTTCGAAGACGGAAACTGATGTCTATTTATTACGGCGCTTTTTACTTAAATAATATATTTTTAAAAATAATTTTTAAAATAAGATTTTTTAAAAAACTAATTTTTGTCTGATATTTTTTTTTCTTTTACCATGTGTCAGTAGTAGTATAGTCTACATGAATGATAATAAATTTTTATTATTATTTTAATAAACTATCGTCCTAATATATCTTATATTATTAAAAAAATTAACACATATTATATGTAAAAAAATGATATAAAAATATAGTAAATTATTATTATTATTTTAATACTATCAAATGAAATAGGATGATAGTATATTTTTATTATTATTTTAAGGATAGAAATTTTTTATAAAAAAAATTACACAATTGTTATATTAAAGTTATAAAAATACAATAAATATTTTTAAATAAAATTTTATTTAAGCTTTTTCACT